AAGTAGGAATAATATTTTTCTACAATGTTTTTTTCTTTGTTTTTTTTTTTTTTTTTTTTTTTTTAAAATTCATTCTTGATGAAAATAAAAAGAAATGAAAAAACGTAAGAAAAGAATAAAAATTTAAAAAAAAAAAAAAAAAAGAAAAAAACAAAAAAAAACATAAATCTTGTTCCCCTCTTCGTTCTCATCCCTCGGGAGAATTAGAAAGGGAGAGAGGAATCCCTTTGAGACGTTCCACTTTTGATTTATGAGACGTTGCAAATGCTGAACGCATGAATTCGAAGCCAGCAGGTGTATCCAAACCCATTCTCTCTGGATAGAACAAGCTTTCTCTCTTTATTCCAACACAGATACAACACACATATACACATTCAACATGTGTATGTATGTATGTATGTATACTTGGCATTGGTTATGTTTCTGTTCGTTTCAACTCTCTCTCTATTCAGCCTTTATTAATAATGAACGTCGCATAATGCGAAAACGGAATGTCAGGGGTTACAACTATACGCGGAGTATTATAAGTTCTATTTATTTAACGTTAATATTAAAACGTCGTGACGTTCGTAATTAGAGAAACATAAAATTAAACTAAAATCTACAAAAAAAAAAAAAAAAAAAAAAAAAAAATAATATTATATTAGAAATATAGATAAAATACTATTCAAATGTGTTTTCCTACTTCCTCCCCATTTTTTTTTCTCGTATTTAATTATTTATTTATTTGTTCGTTTTTTCATTTAATACTCGCGCGACATCTTTAATCGTAAGTATAATAATAAATAATTAAAAAAAATAATAGATTATTATATTATCCTTTCAACCCTGCTGAAGAGAGGATTAACGGGTGGATACGTTATTTTTCTTTTTTTTTTTAACTCCTCCCTTTTTTATCTTTTTATTTTATTTTATTTTTTTCTTTTTTTAAGGGCAGCCCACCCTCGCGCAAACTTCTCGTTGAATTCTCGCAGCTCTAAGAAAAAAAGTGCACGAAGCCATGCTCTTCTAAAAAAAAAAAAAAAAATTGGGCCGGGGCAGGGGTAAGGGTAGGGAAACGAGGATTCCTCTACTAATTGAAGGTCGGCACTGTTGTAACAGAGGATGTTGAACTTAAGGGATGAAAAATTAATTAGAGAACGCGAAATTGATGAAACTGGGGTGGGGGGTGGGGTGGGGGGGGGTTTAGATGGAAACGACGGGAAATAGTGGAAAGAAAAAAGGAATCGGCGGAACGGGAATGACGAGTGGAACAAAATGGCGACGCGTTCGAAAACAAAATGGCGTATTATTAGAGAAACAGCATTAACGCAGTTGTGACGCGCGTTCTCGTTAACCAAATTTTAATTTTTTCTTTCGTTTAAC